CCTTGGCCACCTTGATGCCAGCCGCATTTACTTGCTGTAGCTCCAGGCACCTGTGTGAGGGGACCAGTGCTGGGAGAGGTCACTCCAATGACTTCAGCAAGAGGGCAGGCAGGGGACAGGCCAGGCCAGGCCAGGGCAGCCCTCTGCATCTCCCCGAGGCTGACTGCCTATATCTTGCCTCTCTGATCCAGTCAATGTGAGCGAAACCCCTGCCCCATGGACAGCAGGCCCTGCCACCACCTGCCCAAGACTATCTCCTTCCACTACCTGTCCCTGCCCTCCAACCTGACAACGCCCATCACGCTCTTCCGCATGGCCATGGCCTCAGTGCCCGGCCGACCCGGACCCAACAGCCTGCGGTTTGGCATCGTCGGTGGGAACAGCCGCGGCCACTTCGTGATGCAGCGCGCAGACCGCCAGACCGGAGAGCTGATCCTCGTCCAGCCCCTGGAGGGGCCGCAGACACTGGAGGTGGACGTTGACATGTCAGAATACCTAGACCGCTCCTTCCAGGCCAACCACGTGTCCAAGGTCACCATCTTTGTGTCCCCGTACGACTTCTAAGGGTGCTTGAGCACGGGCTGTGGAGATCTGGGCTCACGTCTCTTCAAAGCCTCGGCTGTGGGCACTGACTGCGAGACACTGGCCCCACTGCCCACCTGCTCACCTGCCTATGCACCAGGTGTCCCGGGCAGCGCTGCACTCTGGCCCACAGAGTCGCACAGAAGGGCAGCCACAAAACCCAAACTGCTGCCGTCGCTTCTGTTTTCTGCTTTAAGGTTGTTCCCTTTGATTATGCGCTAATTTTCTGAAATCTCTTTACCAGGGGAATGGGCAGCTTTTGAAAATGCTGTGTGAATGGCACTGTGGGTCTCAATTAGCTGGGGAGGGGAGGCTCGTGTCTGTCTGAGGTGGTTGCGAGTCCTGAATTATGACAGTCACGCTGAGGGTCAAACTGTGCCCTGTGTGCGTGGCACGGGGAGGGTCCTCGGCCACCACACAGTGTTCTGCTGTTGTCCGTGTCCCCTCTGTGCCATGCTTGCCAGCCTTCTCACCAGAGAGGGATGCAGGGCCCGGGACCCCCATACTGATTCTTCTAGACCAAGAGACCACCATTAAAGAGTAGATTGTGCCTGAATTAATTCCTTTTGAGAAATCGTATCTCAAAACATAACCTGGTAGTCTGAGTAAGTAAAGCCTTTTGCTTCTCCCTGCCCACCTGGCCTGCCCCTGAACATGAGCTGGCCCCGTTCCTTGTAGGAGGGGACCCCTAGCTCTCTTCCTATCCAGGCATACCCACTAAGATAAATGACTTAGAAAGAACACACAGGTGAATGTGGGATTGCTCCCCCAGGGGAAATCTGGCCTGGCCACATGGGAGATGGGTCAGCAACACCTGGCTGTGGGGAGTTTAAGAAGGTGCTTGAATTCCATTGGTCCCAGGCCTTCTGCTTCTGATGGAAGAGCCAGGGGGAGATGCCCTCCAGTGACCGGCTAGGGCAGGGCGTGAGGCAGGATGGGGTGGGAGACACCATTCAGTTAAAACTTAGAAGTTGGCTGAGCTCTGAGGAGGTTTCAATATCCAAATACATGTTAATCTAGGTGAGATTTCATCACAGGTGCGTTATTCAAAAACGCTTTGTATTTGCCCTGGTCTGAGATGGAGCCAGAGGACGTGTGTTGCCAGGTGAGTGGTCCAGCCCACATCAGGATGTTTCTGGGACACTATCCGTGTCTTCATTTGTCAGACGAAGAGTGAGTGATGTTTTTCTCCTCCCATGGGCTTAGCTGTCATCTCTGCCACGGCAGAGCCAGGGCCTGCAGATCTGCTTCCCAGGTTGTTACAAGAACTATTGAAACTGTAATCCAAGCCTTGTATTTTCCAAGTGGTGCTGTAACAGGTCAGAAGCCTGCATGTCACCCAGGCCCCTGGGCGGCACGCCAGATGGGAGAGTCCAAGGGCCTGGCCATATTCCTGAAATTGAGGTGTCACTGTAGTGTACTCCTGTTCCTTGCCGGGGCGAGGGTGGGTGCAGGTGAGGCGCGTGGAGGCTCCCCAGGACTGGATGCTCCCGACTTGCACTGTGTGACGATGACCTGATGACTTGGATGCCACACAGGCCGGTCTAAAGCAGTGGTTTGCATCCCGAGATCTGCCCTCACAGAACCACATAGAGTGCCGGCTGCTCGGGCCGTCCTGTGGATCATGCCTGGGCCTTCTCCGGGGGTAACGCCTGACGTTCTCTCTTCTCTCTCACCTCACGTTCCCTGTGGAAGCCAACTCTCCTTTGTCCCTTCACAACCTGTGCCAGGCCAGAGTAGCTAACAGTTCCAGCATTAATTTGTACCCCTTTCCAATAGACATCATTTCCTAGTATTTGGCAGTGGGGTTTTTAAACTTTGTATCATGCACAGTTGCAAATACGTACAGAAGCAGAGAGACTCATGTCATGAGCACATGTCCGAATCACCAGCCTCAGTGATTAACACACGATCAGTCCCTTCCATCTCTCCTCTCACCCCCCAATGCCGATTCTGAGGCAGACCCTGGACATCACTCATAGCATTTCATCTGTAAGTGTTCCAGCATGTATTTCTAAACCCTACGTACTTTTAACAAAGCACAACTTCAATCCCAGCCATACCTAAAAGTTAGCAATACTTCCTTAATGCCTTCAAATATTTCTGAATGGCCCATGATTGATTTTCTGTTTATTTGAATTGGGTCCATGATTTATAATTTGTTGATATGCCTGCTCAGTCTCCTTTCATCTGTACATCTTAGCATATGTTTGGAGAACCTGGAGGCCTATTAGAAGACAGTGGACTGGGTCATTTGTCCTGTAGAATTTCTCACAGTCTGGGTTTTCTTGGATGCATCTCTGTTAGGTCTTTTAACATGTTCCTCTGTCCTCTCTGTTTTTTATATATCAACTAGAAGCCTGGTGCATGAATTTGTGCACGGGTGGGATCCCTTGGCCTGGCCAATGATCGGGACCATTCAGGCCATATCGCCCAGTCCCAATCGGGGCCTCGGCTGGGGTTTGGGGAGGGGGAAGGGAGAGACCACAAGAGGTTGGCTGGCAGTGTGGGAGCACACTGACCACCAGGGGGCAGCTCCTATTTTGAGCGTCTATGGTCGACCAGTCATGACGGTCGCTTAGGCTTTTATATATATATAGATGTTTATAGAGAGAGACTTAATCAGGGTCCTCTTAGGTTTAGTTTTGCAAGACCACTTTTTTAGTTTTGCAAGATTACTTCCAGTGGAAGCTATAGAAACTCTTGTTGACTCTTCTTTCCTGATGTTAGCAGCCATTGATGTTTATTGACAGATCCATGACTCCATTAGGCATTGCAAATAACATTCTGGTGCTGTTGCTTATTTTTTATTGCTAGCTGGCACACTTTGTAAAGAGAAACCTCTTTTCATCAATTATTTAGTTGTCCTGAGGTTTGGTCTGTATAGGAAAGGCAGGCAAATTCCCTGACTTTCTTCTTTGTGAGTGTCCTAGGTGGAGCAAATGAGAAGTGTTTTGTGTGCTGAGTAGGTGATAGACTCGTGGCTTCAATGCATTGCATTTTCAGTCTTCCTATTGCTCAGATGGTGCTGCTCTGGCTTGGGAACTGCTTCAAGTTGGCTGATTCCTTGTGACACGACCCTGGTGCTCTTTGATAATTTTGTAGTGATCTTGACAAGATGTTTCAAGCTCATCTAGTATATTCTGTGCCGTGGCCCTGAAGTCATCCATCTCCCCTGGAACTCTGGTTCCTTTCAGTGGGGAGTGATAATTAGAGATCAAACTCTGGTGCTAGGGGTGCTCAGTGGTAGTGGTTTGGTCATTGTTTCTTGTTTTTGTGGACAGAACTAGGAAATATGTACTCTTAGGTGTGTTTCTTAAGAGAAAAACACTGCATGAGTTTATATTGGTATTCCCAATTCAAGTCAAGACTATAGCGTTTTTAATGTAACTTCATTGACCTTATACCTGCTCTTTTTTCTCTCATTTAAAAAAACCTTCTCAAAATTACCAAAATAATTACACATTGTCTTAAATCCTCAGAATGCCAATGCCAAAAGTATCACAAAAAATAATTACTGAAAACAGTTAAAGTCTTCTTTTGCAATTCTTATTGTGCTAGGGTCTGTGCCGTTAGGGATGTACAGTCAAGTTACTGTTTTAAAATAACTCAGAACAGTTCCTCTCTCTGTGGTTATACCCCAAGTTTGAATTAGGGTTATGGTTATTCACTTGGTTTTGCTTAAATTTTTAGAGACTGGTTTTTAATTTAAAATTTTTTTTATAGTTAGGTAAACTATTTACATGGTTCCAAAGTCCAATCCACAACATGCGCTGTATTCAGAGAAGTCTGTATTTTATATTCCCTCCATTCTAGTAACTCTTTTCTGCCAGAGATAATCAATATCTTTTCCCATTTTACCCCTCCACTTAAAACACTGTAAGCAGATGGTGAAGGACAGCATGCTGCTTTACACTTTCCTTGGTCCTACTCTTCCTCTTAACCGTATATATGGAGTATATTAACACTCCATAGCACCAGACAGAACGTTCTCCTATATAATGCTCTGTTATAAGGACAGTGTTTATCCAACCAGCCACCCTTGATTGACACTGGTGTTGTTCCCAGTCCTTTCATATTAAAAACATTGCAGCAATATGCATTTGTCTTTCTGTATTTTTGCTTTTGTATCTCTGGGGCCAGTTTTCCCTCCATAGAATTCTGTTCTACTTTCTCTCCCCAACAACAATGCATGAGAGTCATGTTCCTGAATCAAATAAGGCCCAGGGGCGCCCCTGGTTCTCACTTCTGCACAAAGCTCCCCGCAACCCAGAAGGACAGAGGCCTGAGTGGAGGCTGCTCCACAGTCAGCCTGCCTGCCCACTCGCACTGGGCTCCTGAGTGGCAGTCCACAGCCTTCAGGAAGCGATGAGACAAGCCACAGGATCCCTGGCTCCTCAGAATGAAAAGTTAGCTAGGTTTTGGATAACTTCTAAAAATCACCTTATTTACTTGTTCTTTAAACTAAATTTTAAAAACATGTTTTTATTGATTTTAAAGAAAGAGGGCAGGAGAGAGAGAAATATCAATTCGCTGCCTCCTGCACACCCCCTATTGGGGAGTGAGCCTGCGACCCAGGCATGTACCCTGACCAGGAATCGAACTGCAACCTTTTGGTACATGGGAGGACACTCAACCCACGGAGCCACACCAGCCAGAGCAAAACAAACTCATCTTCTTTTCAAAGTGTAGCATCTCCAACACAAGCAAACAAAAAGGAAAATACATTTAAAACAAAATATCACTGCAGAGTCACAGTAAACTTGATGGGTTGGTGGGGATCTGAGCATGTGCCCGGAAGAGACGTGACATCACACTCAATGGTCACGTGCCACCAGCCACCACTTCAGTCCTTACTCAGCTCATGCTGCAGAGGTGGAAGGTAGGCTTTTGTGACTTTTACCTGTACATTCGAAAATCTGTAGGTTTTTATAAATGGCATGAAAATTCCTGAGTGTCTCCTGTGTTCCAGGTTTAGGATATAATGGGTGGATATAATGAGTGGATATAGTTGTTTAGGATATAATGGGTGGATATAGTTGTTTAGGATATAATGGGTGGATATAGTTGTTTAGGATATAATGGGTGGATATAGTTGTTTAGGATATAATGGGTGGATATTACAAGTGTATATAGTTGTTTAGGGTATAATGGATGGATTAACAGGGACCCTGACCTAATGGAGCTTACATTTCAGCAAAAGAGAAGCTAATGAGCATGTAAACAAGAAAGGTATGTGATTTCAGGGAGGGATGAGTGCTATGAAAATGAAAGCAGCACGTGAGGTCAGTCAGCACGTGGGGAGTGTGTGCAGCTCGACCATCCATGTGGCCCAGATGTTGCAAACACTGTCATCGTGTGCGGTGACAGTTAGATTCCAGCTCCTGGTGTTTGGCTTGTGGCTCAGAATGTGGAGTGTGGGGATGCAGTGGTGATATGAGGAGGCCCGGGGCGACCACAGTGGGTTCATGTGCACAAAGCAAAGGCAGCTTCATGCAGGCACAACAACGCTGACTTGGAAAAAGAGGGGAAGGAGGCCCTGGGGGACCTGCAGGG